AAAGAGCGAGAGACAGTAGAAAGAGCGAGAGACAGTAGAAAGAGCGAAGAAAGAATGAGAAAGGAGAAAGAGAGAGAGAGAGAGAAAAGAGGGGTGGCACGGTGGCTCAGTAGTTAGCACTGCTGCCTCACAGCATCAGGGACCTGGGTTCAATTCCACCCTCCAGCGACTGTCAGTGTGGAGTTTGCATATTCTCCTCGTGTCTGTGTGGGTTTCCTCCGAGTGCTCCGATTTCCTCCCACAGCCCAAAGATGTGCAGGTTAGGTGGATTGGCCATGCTAAATTGCCCACAGTGTCCAGGGGTATGTAGATTAGGTGGGTTATAGGGGGATGGGTCTGGGTGGGTGCTCTGAGGGTCAGTGTGGACTTGTTGGGCTGAAGGGCCTGTTTCCACACTGTAGGGATTCTATGATTCGAGAAAAGAGAGAAACAGCTGGAGATAGAAGAATGAGACAGAGAAGAAAGTGAGAGACAGAAAGCAAAGAAAGAGAGAGACAGTAGAAAGGGAGAGGAGCGAAGTAAGAGGGAGAGGGACGAGAGAGAGAGAGAAGAAAGCAGGAGTAAGAGACTGAGAGGACAGATAGTGAAGAGAGAGAGAGAAAGAAGACAGAGGGAGAGAGAAGAAAGCAAGACAGAGATGAGAGAGACAGGAGTGAGAACAAGGAGAGAGAGAAGAAAGCAAGAGAGAGACAAAAGCAAGAGAGAGGAGAAACAGAGAGAGACAAAAGAAAGAAAGAGTGAGATGAGGGAGAGAGCGATGAGAGAGAAGAAAGGGAGAGAGAGAGAGAACAAAGATAGAAAGAGAGAGAGTGTGTGAGATGAGAGAGTGAAGATAGAGGGAGAGAACAAAGTAAGAGGGAGAGACGAAAGAGACAGAAGAGTGAGGAAGAAAGACAGAGAGAGAAGAACGATGGAGAGAGAAAGCGAGAGACAGAAAGCGAAGAAAGAGGGAGAGAGCACAGTAAGAGGGAGAGAGAAGAAGGAGAGAGACACAAGGGAGAGTGAGAGAAGAAAGCGAGTGAGAGAGGAGAAAGATGAGAGCATGAAGATACAGAGAGACAGACACAGCGAGAGAGAGGAGAATGATAGAGAGAGAGAGAGAGAGAGAAGAAAGCGAAAGGGAGAGTGAGATGAGAGACCAGAGAGAGCGATGGAAGAGAGAGAAGGGAGAGAGAGAGAAAGAGAGAGAGACAGACGAAAGAGACATAAGAGAGAGAGAGGAGACAGAAAGCGAACACAGAGCGAGAGAGAGACAGGAGAAAGAGAGAGAGAGAAGAATGAGAGGGACGACAGAGAAGAAGGAGCGAGAGAGAGAGAAGAAAGGGG